TGGACGCAGTCTACGTACATAAATTTCACAAGGACAAACATCCGGGCCCAGAACAATTATTTGTAAGCCATACAACCTTCTAGTGTATGCCAATCACATATGGGGTGAAGCCCTCGAGAACAGTGGTGAAGCAATTGCTGTTTCCCTCGATGTTTCGAAGGGTTTTGGCACGCTAGTCTATCGGGCAAGCTTTCAGCGTACGGCTTATTCCCTGGCCTGATTGCCTGGGTAAAGGACTTTTTGAGTGAACGGTCTCTCCGGGTCGTCGTCGATGGCTACTCATCCGGTACTGTGGCGACTAACGCCGGTGTTCCTCAGGGGTCCGTTCTCTCCGCAACTCTCTTCCTGCTGCATATAAATGACCTGCTCATTCCCGGTATCTATGGGTATGCAGATGACAGCACAGTTGTGGAGAGATACCAACCAAGCGCCTGGGCCGGTCGAGATCAAATCCAGTCAGAAAGAGAGGCTATAGTTGAGCGTGTGAGTCTCACACTACAGGCAGTCTCCGAATAGGGCGATTGGGATTTAACGCCTCCAAAACACAAGCGTGTCTTTTTACCGCTAAAAGGAGCCCGCTTACCTTGGCTCCTACATTCCGGAATGTATCCTTGGAGTACACTAACCGCCTTCAGTTGTCAGGGATTGAATTTTCTCCGAACCTAAACTACGGGCCTAAACTAAACTATTGAGTCCATAGGCAAATCAGCCGCAAGGAAACTTGGTGTGCTTGCAAGGGTGCGGCGGTACTTCATGCCGGGGCAGCTTCTTACCTTATATAAAGCGCAAGTCTGGTTGTGCATGGAGTACTGCTGTCACATATGGGCTGGTGCTGCAAAATGCCACCTGGGAGCATTGGACTCAGTGGAGAGACGTGCTAAGATGCTCATTGGTGACCTTGACTTGGTTGAAACCAATCTTGTCAGCCTCGAGCACAGGCGCAGTGTAGCCGTAGCAGTACAGCAAAGGAGCGGAATAATTTGCCGGCGTCAATCTTTCCGTCCGAATACAATCTGGGCGTCTTCAAGGCAAGAGTGAGTAGGCTTTTGTTACGATAAGACAGTGCCATTTACCATCAGGTGGGATTGTGGTCAAGTACTGGCTTATAATAATTTTAAAAAAAATGAAATACTTGTTCCGTGCGGAATTCAAAACCGGCGGCCCTCAGCGCTGTAACTCGTTACTCATTTACTGTGCCACGAAACTGCCCAATTGTTTTTGTTATTATCTCCTATTGCATACAAAAAAACAAAATGTTTAAATTATTAAAATATTAGAAGTAAGTATTATACGGATGACATTAAATTCCAGTAATGCAGTCACTGTTGCCAAGATATTTCCAGCATATAGTATAGTATACACTACATTCAGGTTTACAGGCAGCCTCGTACCGGCAGGCGAAGTGTAGTGTGTCCCCCCACTAGATGGAGTGACGACCTGGTAAGATATGCAGGAAGTCGATGGATGCAGGTGGCTCAGGACCGTGCTTTGTGGCATTCCTTGGGGGAGGCCTACGTTCAGCAGTGGACTTGTGAAGGGCTGTAATGATGAATGATGACACTACATTATTGTTAACTGTAAATAATCTGTTACTGAAACTCATCGGGATATTGTATATTCAATTACTATAAATACAATATAATAATATATTACGCGCTATAATTAGCCTTCAGTAGCTGAGCTTTAGAGCTCGTAGCTCGGCTACATATTATAAAATTAAATTTTCTGACAGATACTTCTTAGAAAGTGCGGTCGACTTTATAAGGTAATATGAAGAATTTAATATCTAAATGTTAATAGAAAGTGCTAACTACCAAGCAGTGTAAGACGGTCAAGTAACTATTGATGGCGGTATAGCTATTTTGTTCGCAATAGACGTAAAATATTAAGAGCGTCAAAGTTGCAAGAGGTCTGGAACATTCGATCGGTCGTCCGCCTGCCAGATCTAATGATTACGACAGATACTCTCTACAATTGACTTTTACGGGCGGATGAAGAAGAAAAGGAGGACATCTTTTCACCTTAATTATTTCCATTTGATCCATCTTCTGCCCTTAGGTCAAGTGGGTGTTGTAATAGGCGACTATAGCTACGAACAAAAATCTCATGGTTTTCGTTATTTGATGGTTTAAATCTCTTTTACCACATACGTAAAATAATTACGACAACCGATTCCCCTGCCAAGAGTTGCGATTATTGCAAATAAATGACGGCTCCGTGGCGCAGTGGCTTAGCAATCAGTTGTTGCGCTGGGGGCCGCGGGTTCGAATCCCGCACGGAACAAGTATTTGTATGGCCTACAAATAATTGTTCCGGGTCTGGATGTTTGTTCTTGTGCAATTTATGTTTGTAAACTGCCTCCACGACACAGGAGAAAATCCTAGTGTGAGGGTAAAGATTTTTTTTTAAATTAAAATATTAAATTAAAATCAAATCGAGCTAAACCTGCGGAGACCATATCACCAGTATAGATTAATGAGCATTTCAGGGCTGAACTTTTAATTTAGCCATTGTTTCTGCTTAAGACAGTAGTTAAACTAATAGTTAAAGTCATTGATAAAGACAAAAACTATATAAGTTACAAAAATCATAAATAATTCACAACAACCAACAACTTGAGCAGTTTACTTTATCATTGGGGTCAGTCCTGTACGTGACAGAGATCGTAATCACTTTCAACCCTCTATGGATCAAATTTTGTCAATAAAACTTGGTAATCTCTTTTATAAGTGCAATCGTATTTCTAGAATAAGACTTTCTGACTAGGACTCCGTCTGGATATGTACCCATTGTTGTGTTTGTGTTTAAGGGTAAGGAGAACCAGTATAGTTTCATGCTGTGCGCCATTTTTAAAGGTAACAGGACTTCCACTCATGTTTTAGGTGTCCGTCTTTGTAAATACCACTTTCTTACGTATATCCATCACCAGGCAGTTTTGTGTACACTGTTGTATATTGATCTGAAGGGTACTAAAGAAACAGAACAATTACAGGCAGCGAGACACTCCATCTTAGTTCTAAACGGTGATAACGAATGTTTATTCTTCTTTGTTTGAAGCTGATTACAGGTTATACTGCGATGCGTGTAGGGCTACACTGCAGCTATATTGTGGTTGTAGCACGAATGGATCGGCTCGACCACGCTCTCACAAAATACGAGTGTAAAAGAGCAGCCTAAGCAACTGCTGTGTTTGGTATTGTGAGTGTAGAGAGCCGGAGACCCTTTTTACTAGAAACGGCGCATTCCATCTCAGTACTCAGGGGTGACAACGCATCCGCATTTTAATTCTTAATTGAGGATAAATTTAGTGTCTATAGGCCACAGCATCTACTTACCATAATGTGGAATATGTGCTCGTTTGTCACCCTTATTCTAAATAACATATTTTTGTATACCTTAAACAGGATAGTTATACTGACATCTCCCGATAGACAATAATTTTTTTTGGCATTTCTGATAGTCGCTTCTTAAGACACGCACTGAATCAAGTGGGATGGATTTATCTACAACGCGGAAATGCTATAAACACAACATTATTTTATGTAATGATTCGTATGTTTACGTGAACACTACACATTTAAATTAAATTAGTATATAAAGATTTTTTAAGAACTGAGTGAGTTACCTGAGCAACCATGGGTGCTGTAAAGTGCTTACTCGAAACGTCAGAAATATAAATTATGTAAATATACGCGATACAATCCGTAACAACTTGTTTCATTTAAAGAATAGTATGTACCATTTGTATATACAAATTATTGGATTATACCGATTTTATTTCACGCAGCAAACTTATATTCATTAACTCATCAACACTGTTAAATCATCCGATTGAAATAGGTGAAGATAAAATATCTTTAAAAACTTCTTGTTTTTATTCCAAGTACCTATTATATTTCGTATTCGCTTATAATCAGTCATCAGATGGGTAAATAATCCGAACATCAAATTCTTTAAGAAATTTATCTCCACAGTACATAATTATAACAGAATAGAACACTGTTTATTCAATATAGATTGCTACGTATTGCTCATCGAATGTCAATTTTTACTTACCGATGATTTGGAAAATAGCTTTGTCACGGAAAGAACTGGCAAGAAATTCAGTGGGATTTAAAAATAATAATTTTAATCATTTATTTATACATATTAATAAAATTTAAGTTTCTGTTATTGATATGAAAATATGTGGCTTATTAACTCAGGGGATCATTTATATGCTATTAAGACATATTAGATAACATTTTTTTTGCCTTTCTGTCTGTATGAGCAAATCTACAGAATGGCTGAACCGATTGTGATAAAACTTTACGAACAGGTAGAGAGCAATACCATACTTACACATACATACTTAAAGATTTTCTAATGATTTCTTATATGAACACATGATCACAACACATTTAAATAAAACTAGATTTATTTAAATGAAGATATCTTTATTGAAATATAAAAATGAAATATTAATAGAATAAATTGTATTTGATAATAAAACCATATAAACAAATCTTATCTAGGCAAAACCGGGGCACTAGTTCTATATTTAAATAAAAATCAGTAAATAACAATTTGCCAATGGTTGCACGTGTACTGTGAAATTTCCGGCGAGCACTTAGCTCACGGATTTTAGATGGAGATGCGACTCTTTAATAGCAACCACTTATATGGAGCGAAAGGTTCATTACAGAACAGAGGTAGAATAGAATAATTTTATTTAATATTGATTGTTACATAATACATATTGAAAGTCATTTTTAATTTACCAATGTTTCGGAAAATACATCTGTCCTGGGAAAAACCAGCAAGAAACCCAGCGGGACTTTATAATTATGTTCTTAAAATTATATTTTAAATCTTTATAAGATATTTTCCAAACCTAAATAAATAATTTATTTCCACGTATATCGTACTTATGTATATATTTTTGTTACAGGTAACTCACTGTATTGAGGATAAAACATGTGTAAAGTTTTCATCAAATATGATTAAAGAATAGAGCAATCATGGATCCAACCGAAGACGAATTCTATAGCATATGCTTAAACCTAACCAGTGAGGAAATAGACAGCCTTGGCGGATGCAATTACAGCGCTGAGTTTGAGAGTGGCGAACTGTTGGAGAAAGTTGTGTCGCGGGTTGTACCCATTTTCTTCGGCTTTATTGGAATTGTTGGCTTGGTGGGAAATGCGTTGGTTGTGCTAGTAGTTGCAGCTAATCCTGGCATGAGATCCACGACCAACCTGCTGATAATCAATTTGGCGGTTGCTGATTTGCTCTTCGTGGTCTTTTGCGTTCCTTTCACAGCCACTGACTATGTAATGCCACGTTGGCCTTTCGGTGACTGGTGGTGTAAAGTTGTCCAGTATTTTATCGTTGTGACCGCTCATGCGTCCGTTTACACTCTTGTGTTGATGTCCTTGGACAGATTTATGGCAGTCGTGCATCCAATAACATCGATGTCTATACGGACTGAAAAGAATGCTTTACGAGCGATCGCTTGCATTTGGGTGGTAATCTTAACTACTGCTATACCGGTTGGAATCTGTCACGGAGAAAGAGAGTATTCCTATTTCCATAGGAATCATTCATCGTGTGTATTTTTGGAAGATCACGGGTACAGCAAATGGGGTTTTCAGCTCTCATTCTTTCTTTCTTCCTATGTGGTGCCACTAGCCTTAATCAGTGTTCTATACATGTGCATGTTGACGAGGTTATGGAAAAGTGCTCCTGGGGGAAGAGTGTCCGCTGAAAGTAGACGGGGGAGGAAGAAAGTGACAAGGATGGTGGTCGTCGTGGTTGTAGTTTTCGCGGTTTGCTGGTGCCCTATTCAGGTATTATAAGTAATTTAATAATATTCACTTTTTATAATGATTAATACGTCGTGTCGTGGCGGCTTAAGTCCATCAGCCCATTTCACCTTAATTTCGTTGTAAGAGTCGATAAAGGGTTATGCTGGAAAGATCTTTTGGCTAACGGTAGATAACTATCTCGGTTACTTTGGGTGTAACATATCCAGACAGCGACGAGCGGCAGCTGTGACTGTGATTGTTAATCCACCTGCCAAGCATGATGATTAAGGCGAATCTATTCTATAACGAGAGAGATCCAACAAAAGAAAAAACATTGGAGGTTATAATCCAATAATAATAATAATTAAGACTAGTATAAGACTTTTTTTTTTCAAAAATTCATTACTGTATTCACCCAAGTGTCTTGAACCTCTTCTCACAATTATATTTTTCGTGGGCTTTGAGGTACAAATTAAACTGTATATACATTATGTACCGATTTAAATAACGTAATATTAAGTTTCCTTCACAAAAAAAATTAAACAATTTTATTATTTTTTATCAAATATAAAGCTTTTCATTAAATCACAGAAAACTTTTAATATTACATGATGTAATGATTTCTTTTATTTACGCGAACACTACACATTGAATAAAACTATTTTTTACAGATTTTATCGCGTTTAATTTATTTTAGTTCCTAACGTTTCGGGTGTTTTACAGCAACTCATGGTCCCGTTCCCCGTGTCTCCCACACAGTCCCCCGTGACCATTGGTTGCTGTAAAGCACCCGAAACATCGGGAATTAAAATAGTAAATTAAACGCGATAAAATCTATAAAAAATAGTTTTATTCAATTACATGATATTACATAATATGTACAATGTGTGTTTGCACGACAGTGTTCTCGTGGGTGTACACAATTAATTTTCATTTCAATTTTCCTTTGTTACAAAATAGTAGTAGTAATAGAAACATTACAAAATATATTTCTTATTTACACTCAGCATTGGTTTTAAATTATATTGAATACTAGCTTTTACCCGCGACTTCGCTTATATGCTTATATGCATACTAGCTTTCTTCACTAAGCTTAGTTAAACGCAAAAACTATAAGAATGTAAAAATCAGATTTGCACACAACTAGATAGAAGATTTCGCAAAAAATATCCACCATGTTATTCGAATTAAATATATTCTAGATCACTCCTGGAATTGCTCTCCATCTGTTCGGGAATTTTTATCACGATCAGTTGAGCAAGCAAAGATTAGCGCGAACAGACGGATAGACAAACATTTCTAAAATTGTTACATATGGGTTAATATCATGTCATCAACCATCTGAGCTTAATAGGAGCCAGTTATTTTGATATTATAGACATAAATTTATATCTTCTTCTTAATGTATCATATAAAAATTAATGTTTGTTTGTTCGTATTTTATGCGCTGCCATACTGTTCATCAATGAATATATTTACACAGCATGTATTATTAACACAGAGATTACAAGTGTAAATTGAATTTATTTTCAGATTATACTTCTGGTGAAAGCGTTAGACAAATATACAATCACATATTTCACCGTCACGGCGCAGATTGTATCGCACGTGCTAGCGTACATGAACAGTTGTGTAAATCCCGTTCTGTATGCTTTCCTGTCGGAGAATTTCAGGGTTGCATTTAGAAAGGTAAGATCTGTTTTATGTTTCCTATTATGATTATTACGATGTTATTACCGAAATACAATTGCAACGCATGCTCACAAAACAAAAACAGACGAAGTCTAAATCGCGCTGTTGAATCTTCTGAAAATATTGAAAATTCGTACTACGAGTATATATAGTCGCAACCTGAGGTAAGCACCTTGCTCGGTGGGTGATCTCCCCTTTTGCTAACACAAACAAATAATATAAGAGAAACAAACAAGCTGACAGTCCACCGGATTATAAGTGGCTACGGATGATCACGTACTGTAACTAACTTCAAATAAAGAAACTCATGATGTTTTGTTTTCTCTTAAGACTAAGGTGGAATGCCTTACAACGAGTATTTCCACTGTTTCTTTCACCATTTAAACCTTAAAAGCAGTGGTTGCTAATGACAACATTACCAAAATAGCTCTAAAACTAATAAAATTTCAAAAGGATATTAGTTTTCAATTGGCAACTTCGTACAAGTTGTAGTGTGAGATAAGGAAGACGATGAAGTACAACAAAGTGCTAAGTCAAGACAATACCTAGACAGTCTCTTATGAAAAAATTTGTTAGAAACGATCTCTCGAATATTAAACTTTAAATAAAATCACATTTACGAATTTTATAAACGTTTAATTTAATTCATTTTATAAAGGACGTTGATAAATGAAATTAAAAGTTTTACGTCAAAAATTAAAGTAATCGAATTTTATTCATTAAAAATTTAATTTTTTGGTAGATAAGAAAATTAAAACATCAACCTCTTTATTAATACAACGTCCCTATATTTCCCGTCTATTTGTCCAAAAAGTTAGCTTTTGTGTCTGTAAGAATAAATACGATCATTTCCGCTTCTCGGAAAAGATGTCTTACCGCTGATTAATAACGAATTATATCAGAGATGATTAAATTAAATAACTGTTATATCAGGTACGGATACCATAATAAAAATTGAATCATACACTTATGACACAATTATAATATCTGCTACACTACTATCCTCTACACAGCAGGACAAATAAATATTTGCAAATATTAAATCAGCTATGTTGCGTTGCAGATAAATAAAACATGCTACACTGCATAGCAGACAAATAAAACAAGCTACTCTGCTGTTGATAAATATTAGCTACACTGCGTAGGAGATAAATGTGAGCTATGCTGCGTAGTATATAAATATTTGCTACGCGGCATTTCACGTCCTACTGTCACCAAATTATTTTATGCCATAATCAAGATTGGCAGAATAATATATCAGTTTATTCAGAACAGATTTTTCACAGGTAATGTACTGCCCACATCCGTATACAGACACCGGTTCCGGGCGTCCACAACCGACTAAAACAACTCGAACTGGAAATGGAAACTCGTGTCATGACATAGTCTGAGAATCGCAGGGTCGTGCACGCGCCAATTTCGAACAAGCAACTGTTGTTTAAGAAAAAGCGTGTGTCTGACCTCTAAGTATGTCTATAATCATATTTCCTTATGTTTTGAATACGTAATTAGCTCTAATGTAAATATTTAAGTTTCCTGCTTTAATGTTATGTGGTATAAATAAAATAAACATTTGTAAAGTTAATAGTTAGTACATTTATATGATATAACGTTAACAGATTTACTAATGCTAAGTATAGTGTATTACAAGTTGTACATAATGAAGATGTAGAAAGATGTAAATAGAAAGATACACCTCAAAGATAAACTGAAAAGTTTTATGGTGTAATCACGGAAAGAATTTGTATTTCAATAGTTAAATTTATTAAATCGCACTTTCAAAATATTAATTAAATAGTACACAAAAAATCAGTAACGTTGTAAATAATACTATAAAATTTTATATATAATGGCAACACTGTAAATAAATTGTTCAATATGTGATTATGTAAATGCACACTGTAATGATCTTTAACAAAATAATAGTCACCTAAATCGTAACGTAATTTTTTTAACAAATGTAAATAAATAAAAATTTTCTTGACTTCTCATTTATTTCTATGTTTATGAGCCCAAATATGGAAATAAGCGAGAATAAGCTATTAATAATATACACAATTGTATATGTAATATGTATATTGATATGAAATATGTACATATGTATTCGACATGCTCCGTCAAGTTAACTTATTGCAACAATAACCAAAATTGTAGCTAGTTCTTTAAACATCGAATTCTTAATAATATGTCGTGATTAGTGCTATAATATAGTCATATTTATACACATAGTTCATAATAAACAGTAGCATATTGTAGAGTTTGTTCGAATGAAACGATTAACTTGATGTATAGCCATCGTCAAATCTTCTCACAAAGAAAAAAAAATTGAAAGATGTTAACGTTTAGAAATAAAATATAATAATATAATTATGTTAAATAAATTAAAATACATTTATGATTAACTTTCTTTTCTACTATCTTTATGGTGGTGGTTTATGTAATTGTAAGATGTTATTTATATTAATAATTTTAAAAACATTATTGTAAAAAAGATTATTTATGTTTATAAATTTTATCACATTAATATATTAGATACGGTTGAAACATATTAGATAAAAATATGTTTTAAAAAGATTATTATCAAAAGTGTCTCCACATAAATATAAAATGTGTACCTAGCATGTTTTTATCACCTACTGCTAAAATAAAAAGTTTAAAAATAATTGCCTTTCTTTTTAAATTGGTAATAATCATTTAATTTATTTTAATTGTCATTAAAATTATCAAATTGTATCTTTACTACAGCAATTTTGGTGGCTGGTGGTATATGGCTTAATATTGAATTGCAGCGTCGAAGTCCGCGGGGCTAAATCCCACACGGAACAAGTATTTGTATGGCCTACAAATAATTATTCCAAATCTGGATGTTTGTCCTTATGCAATATATGTATGTAAACTGTCTCCACGATACAGGAGAAAATCTTAGTGAGGAGTTAATGTTTTTTAATATATGAAAGAATATGAAAGCAGCTATGCATACTTCTTTATTCTTTATAAGCCTGCCAAAATTATTTACCTAACTTCAGCTCGAATTATAACATTGTTTTCAGTGCCTAGAAGATGGCAATACACTAAACGATATGACTGATTTTTTTATAAAATTAGGGAGACAAACGAGCACGCAGTCCACCAAATGGTAAATTGATACAGTGGCCCATAGACATCTACATTAATCCCCAAATAAGTATGAAAAAGATGTTGTCACCCGCGAAAACGAAGATTGAATGTCCTGTATCCGTATGTGCACTATACTAACTTCACTAAATAAAGTTATATATTTGACTTTTTTTACAAAATAAGGCTAACACGTAACAACACAGTCCACCTGATTTTTTTTTATAGGATATAGGGTGACAAACGAGCATACACCTGATGGTAAGTGGTTGCTGTGGCCCATAGACATCTACATTTATCCTCGTTTGTGAATCAAAATGCAGATGCGCTATCACTCGTGAGGACTAAGATGGAATGCTTCTTTTTCAGCAAAAAGGGTCTCCGGTTCTCTACACTCACCATACGAAACACAGCAGCATTAAGTTGCTATTTTATGCTGGTATTCTGTGAGAGCGTGGTCCTTCCCCGGTCGAGCCGACCCATTCGTGCTACAACTATACCACTAATAAAGCTGCAGCATGGCTCTACCACGTGTTAAAATGATTGTCACCTCTGAAGATCAGGATGGAATGCCCCGTATTCAGTAAAAAGGGTTTTCGGTTCTATATACTCACCGCGTCTTTACACTTTACGCCGGCATTCTGTGAGAGCGTATTCCTAACACGTTCGAGCCGACTGACTCGCGATACAACCATAATATAGCTGCAGCGTGGATATAACACGGATAAAACTACCACAAATATGGGCTTGGCAATACCTTTGATCTTATTATTTTCAAAAAGTAGTAATAGCAAAACAGGATAGTTATTCTATGGTGTGTCAGAAAGCATAAGATATTTCTAGGATTTCCCATAATCACCTCGGTAACAACACCTACTGCACGAAATTATGTAACAGATTTTCCTACGTCTCAACCATACGATACACCTAATATTTTCTGTTCGTCCATGGTAGTAACACCCTCTTACCTATTTCAAACAATATTTAAAACACGGTCCTGAGCCAAATGCATCCATCGACTTCATGCATGTCTTTCCAGGACGTCCTTCCATCTAGTGGGGGGATGCCCTACACTTCGTCGGCGGGAATGAGGCTGCCACTCGAGAACCTATTCTCCCATCGGTTGTCGGTCCTTCGAGCTATATGGCCGGCCCATTGCCACATCAGCTTACTAATCTGTTGGGCTATGTCGGTCACTTCAGTTATAATACGGATATCCTCGTTTCTAAGTTTATCACGCAGAGAAACTCCGAGCATTGCACTCTCCATAGCTCGCTGAGTGACGTTAAGCTTTCTCATCCGGCCAGCAGTGAAGGATCAGGTCTCAGTTCCATAGGTCATCACTGGCAACACGCACTGGTTAAACAGTCTCGTTATCAAGTTTTGAGGTATACCTGACGAGAAGATATGCCGTAATTTCCCTAACGCTGTCCAGCTGAGTTGAATCTGTCGATTGACCTCTCGGTCGAAGTTGGAATTACCTAGTCGGACTATTTGAGACAAGGTAAACATACTCGTCAACAACTTCGAGCTTAGTGCTCTCAACAACTACCGTCATAGATGTGACATGGACAATAAACATGATCTTTGTTTTGTTCATGTTTATTTTAAGACTTATCCGTTGGGAGACACTATTGAGGTTATTGAGCATAGTGCTTAGGTCCTCCAGCAATTCTGCCATAAAGACTATATCGTCGGAACATCGAAGATGAGTGATGTACTCGCCGTTGATGTTGATGCCGATCCTTTCCAGTCCAGAAGCTTGACAACGTCTTCCAACGCAGCGGTGAAGAGTTTCGGGGATATAACGTAACCCTGTCTAACACCGCTCTGCAGTTGGATAAGTTATGTATTCTGGTTCTGTACTCGGATAGCCATCGTCGCCCTATTGTACAAACCCATCAGCACTTCCATATACCGATAGTCAACTTGTATATACTTGGCACCGCTGGCACTGAAGCACCGCCCAATGTTTTTTTTTCTAAACTATCTGTAGCTTCTTCATACATCAGATTTTTATTTCCATGTTGGATTCTGGGAACAGAGATAATTTTTTTTAGTCGGCATTAGGTATTTATAATGAAATAAGAATTTTATAACTTTATTTTGTGAAGTTTGAATACCTTCCGTACGTTGCTGCATTACCCCAAACTTCTACTAAATAACTTAAACATGATTTTTCTAAAGAGTTGTATATATTGAAACGGACTTGTTTTAGCAGACAGTTTACTACTTTACACAAAGCGCCTGTTAAAGAAGTAATTTTACGGTAAATATATTCAATATATGCCTTTTGTGGTCTTTCTTAACAACTCCATGTAATTTTGGACGGCATTAAAGAACTTCTGAAGGACTTCAAGTACTAGTTTTGTACCTGCTTTCAGAAGCTCTGCTGTAATTCCATTCCCGCCTGGGGCCTTGCCGTTATTAAGGTGCTGGAGAGCCATTCTAATCTCACACTTGCTTGTGGCTTCAATAAAGATGTGTACAGCTGCCCATAGAACCACTCAATCTCACTCAAAATCTCAGGTTTCCCGGAACAACACTGCCATACTCAGTCTTCGGTTTCGACAGTTGGCACTTTCTGGCAGACTCTGGCAAAGACTTTGGAGCCCTGGTGCCACTTGATTTCTTCTTCAATACGAGCAGTATTAAAGTTGCGTAAGTCCCGCCGCATGCATTTGGAGATCTGTCTGTTCAGGTTCCTGTATGCTATAAAATCTACTGAAGACTGCAGCATCATTTCCCGCCTAACAGCCTTGAGATTATGAGTGTGATCGGAGAGTTTTTGTGTTCTTCTGCGGCGGGTCTTGCAAAACATAGCTCCGACCGCATGGACAGTTAAAACGCGCTTGTCATTTATATCGTATATGTCAGCATCGTTTCCAAGACACCTGAGATTTTGAGTGAAATTGAGAGGTTCTATGGGCACAACATCAATGAAGCCTCACGCAAGTGTGAGTAACGATCCAAGAGCAAGTCTTATCCGACACTATTCCGATGATATCCCGGACGTCAGTCTGAACTAGATTAAAATGGCTCTCCAGCACCTTAAAAACGAAAAGGCTCCAGGCGAGGATGGAATTACAGCGGAGCTTCTGAAAGCGGGTCGAATACCGGTACTTGAAGTCCTTCAGAAGCTTTTTAATTCCATCCTCCATGGTGACACCACACCGGAGGCGTGGAGCAGAAGTGCGGTGATCTTATTCTTCAAGAAAGGTGACAACGCTCTCTTGAAGAACTACAGACCGACTTCCCTTCTGAGCCGCGTCTACGT